CGGGTCCTGTCCCCTGCCCTCCCGGCAGGATGGGGATGGGAAGGCAGCATCACACCTGGCCCCATCAGCGGGGAGTTGATAAATAACATATATATTTACGTATAAATATAATGCCTATCTATTATAAATGGTCGCGCAGTACATAAATTCATATAATGGCATATTGTGTATGTATTACACACTACTGAATCACCGTATACACTCTATACGCTGTAATATTGGTGCATATAAACACTGTTTTATTAACGTGCAGTGGTGGAGAAGGGGCAGCTGGCACCCGGCTGCACTGCGCTGCGGGTCGGGTCGGCGAGGTGGCCGCACGCTTTATTTTCCTTTGGCTGAGAGCTTTCGCCATGAATAGAGGGAGGGGAGCTGGGGCTGGGATGCTTCTGCCAAGAATGATTTGGAGGCCTCTTTATATTAGTCAGAGCTCTTTTTTTTTTTTTTTTTTTTTTTTTTTTTTTTTTTTTTTTTTTTTGATCCCTCTGGTAACTCAGCTCAGTCCTTGAGCCTTGCCTCTTTTCTCAAGTCACAGGCGACAGGACGAGAGGAAATGGCCTCAAGTTGCGCCAGGGGAGGTTCAGGCTGGATATTAGGAAAAATTTTTTCACTGAAAGGGTTCTCAGGCATTGGAATGGGCTGCCCAGGGAGGTGGTTGAGGCCCCATCCCTGGAGGTGTTCAAAAGACGGGTTGATGTGGTGCTGGGAGGTATGGTTTAGTGATGATGCTCCTTGTTTGTTGTGCGGGTGTCTATTTTTGTCAGTTGGGTTGACGGTTGGACAAGATGATCTTTAAGGTCCCTTCCAACCTAGAAGATTCTGTGATTCTGTGTGATTTGTCAGCGCGCCGCATAAATTTAGGCTTGTGCTGGACCTGCCGTGACCAGGAACCTGTCCCACCTGCTAATTTTAATGCCCAGTAGGACTGGGTTGTGGGCCAGCAAAAGCGGTGTCCGGCTGCACGCAAGGCCAATGGGCTTGACTGTGGTTGTCAACCACCGAGAGCTCAGCTGGCGTCTTCCACTGTGCCTGTCCTTATCCCGGAGCCCAAGAGCGCTGTGTCACAACAGCACGGCCAGCGTTTCATCCCGGGTGAGGACAGCAGCCGCTGGCCCGTTCTGGGGGAGGCGGTTGCAAATAAGTGAGCACTCGTATGTATTTTCAGCTCACCCCTTGCTGGCGTTACCGGCTTGTGCAGAGGCTCTGTGAAAGGTGAGGAGCCAGTCAAGCCCCGCAGAGGGTCTTGCAGCAGACGTTGAGTCCCATGGTATAGAGAGGAACAAAGCTAAAACTATTGCAATAAATCATAAATCTCAGTACTTAATGGATAGCATGGCCACACATGCATGGCGGGTAGAAGACAATTAAATATAGAATTTTATCAAAGCTGTCATGCTTTGGTGTTCTTCCCTGTCACTGTTTGGGATTTCACACTATTTTTAGGAGTCAGAGAACCAAGAATCTGCTCTTGCTGTGCAACTGATCAGGAAAAGATTTAGAGTTGATGGGAGAAGTACATTGGGCTTCCTGCCACTTCCAAGCTGCTTTCCATTAAGGAGCAATGGTGAATTCCTGTCTCTCTGGTCTCCTCATCAGTCGTTTCTTGCTGTTTCTGTTGTAGCTTGCTTCAACATACGTTTTGGGAAAGGTGGTCCTGTCAGCTCAGAGCTTTGCCATGCACTCAGTCATTCACAGATAGGAGAGCTTTGCCTGTGTGATGTTATGTGCTTTGGTTTTGGTTGTGTGTCCTACTCATTATGTGTTCAATGGCAATTTCCTTACACATCATTTTTTCCTCTTTTTTCAACAACTGCGGGAAAATCTGGTGTCTGGTCACAACGTGATCAACTGGTCTGAAAAGTTACGAAGAAAGATGTGTCTAGCTGATTACCATCTTCTGCACTGGACCTGAATTCATGCTGCACCTTTTTGGTTACTAGCACTCTTCACATAAAAGCATCTATCACATCATTTCTCGTACCATCTGGTAAAAAACAACCCCTGATGCCAAACAGCCCCTCTTTGTGATGAGACTGAAGGAAAAACCTGGACTTCAGTGGGGAGCACTAAGGTATCAAGGCAAGAAAAAGAGGATGGAACTTTGCTACTGAACCATGGTAAGATGTGGATCTTGATAGAGATGTTGGCAAAAATTTGCCCAAGAATGTTTTAAGGGAATTTGATAAATACACATAAAGGACCTAAATTTAATGGCTTGTGCTAACGCTGCCACCTTCTCCTTTTTTAATGGTTCAGTCTTCACAGAGGTGGAGTCTTCCTCTCATTTGCAGTAAGGATTTACACAAGACATGTTTTATTCCATTCTGGACACTGGTGGAGAAAAGTCTGAGATAGGTTACTCAGTTATTAATAATAATGGGAAGAAAAACTATGTTGAGCAAACTGAGGTCTAAGTGACTGCTAAATACTGAAATGAAAAGCCTAGTTTCATTGGTTTCATTGGTTTATGAAGTTTTGCTGCATAATGCTAATGTAGAAATTGCAGTAATTCATTCCAGTGGCACACCTGCTAAAATCAGTGTCATTTCTTAACAGGAGATGGACCTACTGCATCAAAAGTAGTAAATAATTCTATTATCTAATGAACAGATAAAGGCTAAGAGCACTCCAGGAAAGACTTGATTTCTTTCAGAGATTTAAAGAAATTCCACCAGAAACTCCACTCTTGAGTCTGTAGTTTATCTTCAATTGTATTTTTTCCCTTATGGGTAAAGCCATGTGGCAGAATAGTTGGTGTATTTAAGCCTCACAAATGGATTCCTAATAAAGACTCTGCTCCTTAAAGCCTGACTTCTCTCATTACAGCGATATCTAAGAAAATGTAGGTATAAAGAAAAACATCTCTTACCTGTTAAGTATATCCAAAATGTATACACCAGGTAAAAATTATGTCTGCTATATAATTCAGTAGATAAAGATCTAGGAATAAAAGTCCTTCGGCTAAAAAGCCACTCGCAGAATCTGACTTTTGCAAAAATAAAGGCTTTATACAAGTATATCGATTAGATTAGATTTTAAAAACTGTTTTTGAAGAGGTCGCATAATATTCAGCCAACCCAATCAATTCTCTGAGGGGGTTTTCCATCCGACTCCTTGAAGAGAGGAGATGCCAACGGGCAGGGTTTACTCCCCTGCCCCCCTGGGGACGGGCGCTGCAGGAGACCTTCCGCGTGACAGGAACAGGCACATCGCTGAGGGCAGGAGCTGGGCCCAGACCTCTCTCTCCCCCTCTGCTTTATGACTTAACGAAGCCAGATCAGGAGCTGGGCAGAGCTTAATTATCACGGTATGAAGATGTGGTTGTCAGGGGAGCTGTGAGGGCTGCAGGAGTAAACTGTGGGTAATTCTTGATATTATTGCATTCATCGAGATCCCGCTAACACATAGACTAGGCCTGGGAGCAGAGCAATTGACGATGCCTAGTTTGAAACTTTTATAAATGACCACTCAAGACTGTTACTGTATGAGAATGGAATCACGGGTTTGTCAGAGCTGGAAGGGACCTCTAGAGATCACCTAGTCCCACTCCCCTGCTAAAGCAGGGCTGCCCAGAGCACATACTTGCATGTTACCGTGAACCTTTTCGTAGTTTCATGAAAGGTCAAAGAGAATCTATTTTTAAAGCATACATGTTTGCATTCTGGATGATTTAGTAATAGATCACATAAATATTGTACTAACCATTTTGGTGATTTTTTTTTTTTTTTTCAGAGCAAAGGAGTTCTAAATATTTTGGCTTCACCTGATTTGCGGAGTCACCCATAAATCCTGGAATTGTAATTGATGTGATGTATTTAGAGTAATGTAAAAAAAGAGATGAGAATGCTTTTATCAAAATTCAAAATAAGTCATCATTTGTTTCTGAACCCAGATTAACAGTGAGCAGGATGACAAAAATCAAGTGCCATGATTCTCTCTTCCTGTTTAAAAGCCAAAACTTATTGTGGCATGTCTTAAAAGTCAACATTTCTAGCCTCCTTCAGGCCAAAGCTGGAGTAAATTTCTACCCTAACGGTGCCTAGAAAAACAGCTTTCCCTCTCTCACTTGACACAGAGTCCAGTTGTAGCATCTCTCTAATCAAAGGAACAAACTGACAGAATCTCAGTTTGTCTGATTTTAGGTTACTGAAAACTTTGAGGTAAAGTCTACAATGCCTTTTAGATTATTTAAATATGTAGTTAATAATTTCTGAAAAGACTTAACCTAAATCCTGCTCTATGCTAAGAACATTTAGGTACCTCTGTCCTTTTCCTTTTAAATAACGGAGCTTATGTTTCTGAAAGACATTGCTTTTGAAAAACATCACCTCCAATGCATCTGTGCAATGTAAGATTATTCAATTCACAAAGCACAACTTGTTTTTGAGGGTAGTATGAAAGTCAGTGTTGTTTGGAAACGTTTAATCGAATGGTGACAAGCTATAACTCCTCATTTACTTTATAACGTGATAAAAAATAAATTACGAACATGGGAGTTGAAAGGACCTTCTGGGTCACTGAGTTCATCCCCAGTTCTGCAGATGAATATACACATCTGACAAGTCTAGAGCTTCCAGTAATCTAAAAATATAAAAGCAAACCCACAGTAAACAGAATCTAATATATGCACAGAGGTTTCTGTAACACTACTGTGTTCTGCCGTAAGTTTAGCCTCAGTATTCTGTTTGTGGCTGGCAAACAGACACTCACTGAGAGATCAAGAGGCTGCTGGCGGCCACACGTGGACTTTCAGCTGAAGAGGTCGGTAACACCTCCTCATCCTCATCGTCCTCTCCTGCTGGCGTGGGGAGGCACAAATTAAGTGTAGTTTTTCTGGTCAGGATATTAGGAGTCCCCTAAAAATGTAGGGCACTACCCTCATTTTACACCAGAGACACAGAAGAAAGCAAGTGGATCCACCACCCTTGTAGCTCATTGTTATTTGCCAAGTAAGGGCAACAGGATTATTGCTTTCCCCAGCCCAGCATTTAAAAGATGAAGAATGGCTTTGTTGTCCTCCTTGGGGACTCCAAGAAGAACATTTTTGTTGTGAAGGTCAGGCTCTGGAAAGAGATGACACACTCTGGTCATCCGTCATCTGTGATATGAACCTGCTTCTGCTGTCAGAGAGTCCAGATAACAACTTTGATATAACAACTGGTATACAAGGAATACCAGTGAGGTGGCAAAGTCCGGGATTTGCAATGCCTCTGTTAAGGAGTGTTAACATTGGGGCAGAATACAAGCCCTAGTAAATATTTAAGTTCAACTCCTTTATGAAGTGGGGATAAAATATAGAGTATTCCACTCTGCTAAAAAAAAAATCTTATGCATAAAAGAGCATAAAACCTGCTCCAGGACTTGTGTCCTGAATGGAGAACTGCTTTACTTTTATCTACAGTTCCTTATTTTTGTCTCTTTGTTTTTCTGTGGTTTTTTTTCCCCTCTGGATTCCTAGCTGCTCTGGTAACTGGTGTTGGTGAATATGGAATAAACTTGCTTTTGCGTAAGGTATCATTAAAAAAACCCAAACCCTACCTCAGTAGGGTTTCAGCTTAAAAATATTTCCCCTTGAAAGCTACCTTTGATGAATCATTTTTTCCACTTTTTTTTTTTTGGCAAATTTGAAGTAAACCCAACAGAATCAGTCTCAGTGCTGACATAAATTTTATTTTTTTTAATGCAATTGCTGGTTTAATCTCATTGTGAATGAAAAATAAAGCAGTACTTCTTTCTCTGTAATTGGAAAGTCACTTTCAAATTCATGGAAACGAAATTGCATAAATACTCAAAAGACATGTTACAGTAACCTTCAAATCATCATCTTCAAATGAAAAGTAGTCTCTTCAGAAAGGGAAAAAAAGCTCTGGTCAAAATTCTGAGTTATAAATAGGGACTCTGTATACAAAGGAACTTTGTATATTCAGTTGCGTGTCATATGATGGCAAAAGCACATGAGGGTCACCCTGAGGATTACATCATCCGGAAGAGAACACAACACGCATCTCTTACATAAAAAGCATGTCAGACAAAACCCATGTATTTGCAAAGCCTTGGCTTCTTGGTCTCCAATGTCTCATTAAATGTATAAGAGGTTATTTTTACCCTCTTTAGATTTATCTTTCCTGGACATGCAATGGTAATCCTCATTTCACTGCAAAGCCTACCATGAGAGAGAATTAATTTGTGCTGAGAGCACTCTTCTTGTAAAAGAATTTTAATGTGGTATGATAGGCAACTTTTTTCTTTTTGGGGGGAGAAAGAATGAGTATTTGTGTGAACTTTGCTAACTGCTTACACTGCATTTATTGACCTTTTTCTCTTGCCCTTGCACACAAGTGCAGTGGACATCAGGGGATTGAAAATGATGCAAAATATCCCACGATAAAGCCCACACTCACTGGACATTGCCCAATGCTTCAACGCCTAAAGGGAAGAAGTATATTGCCCTGGGTACAAAGTGCAATTTGCATTTGCAAATAAGATTTAATAAAACCAAGACCTTAAGGTTCTCAGTGAGAATCCAGTTCTAGGCAGGAGGCTGCCCGTCAGTCAGCTTTGGTTTCTTTGAGATTAAGCTTGAGAAGGGCAGAAGTGACAGAAATGTTGACAGTGGACTTGTTCCTATTCTGACTTCCTTCACTGAAGGGAAGCAGCTCGGGTACCGGGGATAGTCAGGTCATGAGGAAAGGGCTTACAGAGCTGGATGTGGATCTACAGCCTGATGCTCAATAAAAGGTTGAGTCCTGGACTTTTACTCAGGAGTCATAACCTCTGCTGCAAAGCACAACCCCAAGTTTTGTTCCCCACACTTTTAACGGTTCGGATACCTCTCAGTTCAGGGGCAAAATATCACAATATCCAGAGGAAGTGTCCCAGCAACCACCTTCCTGTTCTAAAACCAAATCTGTAGTGTTTTGCTTTCTCGCTGGTTGTGGCAGCCTACCTTCTCAGTAGCTTTGATTCCTTCAGCTCCCTTAGCAGAGTTGGAAAAAAGAGCCCTTCTTTTCTTTGTTGCTTATCTACTGAAACCGCTCTCCGACTCCAAAATTACTTACCTTGGTTGAAGAAATGGCTTATTCTTAGACATGAAGCAACTTATACTGGCCCTTTGTTACAGTCCTTGCTGACCAAAAGTAATGGCTGTGATTTAATGTTTGTGTGAATTATAAACTCCTCCAGAATTACTCAATGAATACAACTGATTCTGGTCAGAGATGCAAATTAAGTTCTGCAAATGCCTGGACTGTAAGAGTTGAGAGCACCTACAATGAAAAGTGCTTTAATTCTCTAGAAGAAAAAACCAAATCAAACTAAAATTATGACTAGGGTGGGGAAAGAATTGGACAGGAAATAAAATGATCCTTTTAAAGAACACTGGTTATTTGGTGCTCTAGTTCTGTATCAAATACGCTTAAGTGCTTAAAATAAACAGCTGTTTGTCTCAGCTTTATACTTTACAGCAGTGACCTTCTTTCTTGAGACCAAAGAACCTGGATAATTTTCAACAATTCTAAAGTTTGCTTCTGCTGCTGGACACCCATTACACTTCATAACCACGAGCAATAGTTGGTAAGCTCAGATCTGCGCTGGGGAAAGCACTTTAGAGATTATCTGTCTCATTGCCCAAAATGACAGGACTAATGTCAGGGAGCTATAACCATTTTGTACAGCAGTAAACGTGGGGAGTCTAATTTCTGAAGCGGTTTAGTTGTATGTTAAATTTGTATATGTGTATTAATGCTTTGAGGTAGGCTTTGAAAAGTAACATCGAGAAATCCAGGTTGGTTCATTACTGATAAATCTACTTTCTTACTCTGGTTTAACTTGACTCTATTTGTAGCGTTATGGTAGAACAGCTACTCTTTTTATTCTGGACTAATTAGTCCAAAGTCCAAATTCATTTTATGAATTTAAGTACAAAAAATACTCTTCTATTTCACCACTTTTACTCAAAAGTGTACTTTCACAATGGGGCCTACATCAAAGCCAGATGTTTCAGGGGAAAGATAAGGATAAGGAGCAATGACCAATTACTGGGTAATAAAAGATAGACCAAAGCCCAATGCAGTTAACTTTTGAATTTACTGTTTTGCATTTTGTCCTGAAGGTAAATGTCTTTGTGAAGACAGTTTTACGCAGTTTCATTCTTTCAGAGATAGATTGCTTGATATATGCTTTTAAGCTTAAGACATTTGTTGAGCTCAGTGTTACTGGCTCCCTGCGATAAGGAGCTGATCCTCACCGTGGGAAAGCTCTCTGTTGGTCGCATCCCTTGCCTTGGTGCAGCACAGCCCCTGCAGTAGGAGCCCTTTACCAGCGTCCTGTCAAGGACAGCGAAAGAATCATAGACTGGTTTGGGTTGGAAGGGACCTTAAAGATCATCTACTTCCACCCCCTGGCCCAGGCATGGACATCTCTCACCACACCAGGTTGCTCCAAGCCCCCTCCAACCTGCCCTTGAACCCCCCCAGGGATGGGGCAGCCACAGCTTCTCTGGGCAACCTGGGCCAGGCTCTCACCACCCTCACACCAAAGAGTTTCTTCTTCACATCTCACCTATATTTCCCCTCTTTAACCCTCACACCAAAGAGTTTCTTCCCCACATTTCACCTATATTTCCCCTCTTTCAGTGTAAAACCATTCCCCCTTGTTCTGTTGCTCCACTCCCTGATTGAGAGTCCCTTCCCATCTCTTCTGCAAGCCCCCTTCAGGTATTGGAAGGGGCTCTACTGTCTCCCCGGAGCCTTCTGTTCTCCAGGCTGAACCCCCCCAACTCTCTCAGCCTGTCCTCGCAGCAGAGGGGCTCCAGCCCTCAGGGCATATTCATAGCCTCCTCTGGACCTGTTCCAACAGGTCCATGTC